TCAAATGTAGTGGAGTAAAGAGTACAGATACTCATTCAAAAATGTAGTGTAGTAGAGAGTAAAAGTTGCTAATATCTTTGATACTCAGTACAACTACAAAGTATCAAAAAAGATACTCAAGTACAGTAACTAATTACATTTACTCCAATACTTTACACCTCTGCCCAAATTAAAGCTTTTGTACCTTTTTCTGAGTGTGGATGTTTGTTATTTAATCATTTCATTGCTTTCTCTGCTTAATAATAATAATTTGACAGAATTTGTAGGTTTACTGGTTATATTGTGAATTGTATTGGGTTTAATAATGGTCCCTGTGGGTCCACTGGTAATTTGTCATCACCTATTTGTGTTAAAACCAATAAATCCTAATGGAATGTTTCCCAAAACACACTACAGAAAACCTTTGTTTAATTGGTTGATAGTTTGCAACGGTTGTAATGGTATTTGTGGAAGCCATAAGAATTTCTGTGATGGTTTCAGCAGGGTTTCATGCCAGAAAACGGTTGCTTTTAATATAATTCAACTGCTCTGCTTGTAAAAATTAGATTCTGAATAGTCACGCATTCATTTACGTATATTTTCGTCTCAGAATGAAATGCGAGTAAGAATTGCTAGCGTCGCACTGCTCTCTACAGGTCATATTGAGAATTGCACAAAGCCTCTGTGTTGACCTGGGCAGCAGGACGCTGAGAATCACTTGGGGTTACTGGAGATGGTTTTAAAGAGGAGTCATAATCCTGTGTCCAGTAGTAATTAGGATTAGGACATTCACCTGACAGCAGTCACAGTATGCATATAAACAGGTGTTGACACAGTTAGAACATCTGGAAAATTAAGAACTTTAGGTTGTTGCTTGCCAGAATTGTCACTAATTTAGTGTTGCAAACCTGCAAACATACAATCAAGAAAAGTTTCAAGAGCTTTCAGTTCCCTTCAGTATTATGTACATGAGGGTCTGGTTCAGTTGTCTCCTTACTCAAAAGGCAAAAGTTTGAGGTTATTAGGATAAAAAAATGAAATGAGAATAATGAAACAAATTCATTAAATTGATCATGTGCGACAGTAAAGACCTTTATAATGTTACAAAAAAATCTAGCTGTTATTTTGAACTTTGTTCATCAAAAATCCAGAAAAAGAATGTATAATGTTCAAATAGAAAACAGTTACTTAAAATTGTAATACATTTCACAATGTTTCACATGTTTGTATAAAAAATATATTTATATATAAATTATATGAATATAAATATATACATGTAAATATATGTAATTTTTTCAAAATATATAGGTGTATGCATGTGTATTTATATATACATAATAAATATACACAGTACACACACATATTATGTAAACAAAAGCTTTTATTTTGGATGCGATTAATCGTTTGACAGCACTAATATATATATATATGGCATTGAATTGATAATATTTTTAAAAAGATATATCTATTTTAAAACCTGCAATAAAAGCAATGATATTTCAAAATATTACTACAACTTAAAATAACTGTATTCTATTTTAATATATTTTAATTAAATATAAGTGTGGAAAACAGTTATGCTGGAAACCGTGATACATTTTTTTCAGGATCCTTTGATGCATATAAAGCATTTATTTGAAATAGAAACCTTTTGTAAAATTATAAATGTCTTTACTGTCATTTTTGATCAATTTAATGCATCCTTCCTGAATTAAAGTATTAATTAACTGTGAATAAAGTATTAAATTAGTAGTGTAATAAATATTATTATTTTGTGTAAGACTAATTCATCTGTTGTGTGACTGTATTACAAGTACTTATATTATGAAATGTATTTTGAATTGCAATACAGTAAATTCCTCTTCCTGTCATTTCAACTCCAATGAATATAAAAAGGAGGCAAGTGTTTTCCATAACCCAGCTCCAAAGAGGGGACTTCAGAATGAAGATGATTTTAGTCCTCTGAAGGAAATAATTCTACAGCTACTTCTTGAACGTACAGCACACTAAACAACATTGCATCACACTGACCGTAGAAGAGTCTGAGGGTTTCCAGGCCCAAGAAGAGGAGCAGCAGGACAACATCCAATATCAGATTGGCTTGTGGGTAAGGGAGGATCACCCCTACAAACGACAGAGCAAGCACTGATTACTACACATATAAAATCTCAACCTCTAGATCAGGGGTGTCAAACTTGAAGGGGTCATATGACGTTGCTAAAAATAACATTATTTTGTGTATTTGGTGTAATGAATTGTGTTTATGCAGTTTAAGGTTCAAAAAACATTATTTTCCACATACTGTACTTACATGCTTAATGCATATCGCCACCTAATTGATGGTTGTGCAATCATTTTTTTTTTTTTCCCATTTAACCTTTAATCCTTGAGAATATGAATTATATTGTTTGTTTATTAATGCTAATTATATATTAAGTCATATCATATATGTATTTTGATTTAGAATTTAGACATTATAGAAAATGCCGATCCATGTGTGAGATGATAATATAAAATGTAATAAATAAATATATATAATATAATAAATTAATCATTACCTTGTCATAGTGTTTTATAATTTATACAGATAACTGTTATATATGCCAATAAAATAAATATAACTCGTCAGTAGATCCTGCTGTTTGGAATACCCCCCAGGAATTGAGTATGACACCCTGCTCTAGATGCTTTACTGAGCCCATACATCACCTTTGTAGATAAACATAAGAATCTCAGCGATGAAGAACGCTGCAAAATACCAGCCATTCAAATGAAACAGGATCTGCAGTGGTGTGGAGGACAACTGAGATACTTTGTTAAGATACGCCACATAAACAGAGCAAACAAAGATAGATGTGTAATTTAGAAAACTGTAAAGGACAGCTTGAAAGGATACGACAGGTTGTCTTCCTGCAAAAGCGAAATTAAATTAGTAAGGTCGTCCTTTGTTGTCTCCCTTAGGAGAAATTTGTAAGAGCAGGTCAACTTACAACAACATTACACTTAAGACAAAAAAAAAAACACTGAATTAATTAACAATGTATGCCTAAAAGTAGAGGAGAGACTGGGAATTGTAACCCCTTTTGTCTCTGGCTGTTTTGGTCCTGAAACTCTCAAAAATTGCCTACCCACATCTGATCACTATAAATATCAGCCATTTTAAGATCTAATGTTATCATAAAGCAAACTTTATTTTAAATAATAAAAAAAATGATGCTGAATTTTTGAAATTAGGCCTATGTCATCTGCAAACATGAAACTCATTCTTATAAAATACATCTATTTAAATATAACACTGATTTTTAAATAAGAAAATAAATCGTATCCGCCACTGAATGAATGAATGAGTAAAGGGGGGTAATTGCGATTTTTTTATTTCAGAATTCTGGCTTTTTTTTTGGCCAGTTTACATCTGCCAATTCTGACTTCTTTTCTGAGAAATGATACATAAACTTAGAATTGTAAGATACAAACGCAATTGCGAGTTATAAAGTCCAATTCTGAGGGGGAAAGACTATTTTCTCAGAATTGCGAGTTTGTGTCTCATAAATATGAGGGGGAAAAGCCAGAATAATGAGATAAAAGATCGCAATTACCTTTTTACATTCAGCGGCGGAAACAGGCTTCTATACAGTAACGTTAGATTCACTACCGACAACATAACGCTTTTGGAGTTCTTCTCAGAAAGCAAAGTTTTGATGAATCTTCTGAAGTGACTAATCAGACAGTAGCAACAATCTTAAACGCCTCAAGAACAAAGTGGGTATGTATGTACACGAATGACAACACGAGTATCCATGTTTTATGCAACAAGCGGCAAAAACTAGTAACGTAAATCACACACAGAAATCCCGTTTTGTTCATGAGCAAATCACAGGCAACTCATTAGAATTCGAGTTAATAATCAAATATTTCCTGCCACAACAAAACGACAGCAGTGTCATGAATGGCTAACATTAGCTTGACGATACTTACCCTCCATTCGAATCAAACAGGCATTAATTGATCGCTTTTTGTTTACCAAATCATTTTATTTGGCTTCATAAAAAGCCATTCGTTCTATTCACAATAAAATATAGGCAAATGTGTGCCGACATCGAGCTAAAATCAACTTATTTACAACCAACCCCACAACATTCTGCTTACCGTGCGCGGCCATGTTGAATTGTCATGGAAACGGCATACTGTGGGCGGAGACAACCATCAGCCGTCCAATCAAAACCCGCGTCAAGAAAACAAGCGCGCTTATTTCATAACTTTACGTCTTTATTTGAACGGGAACGATTTTAAGGCATTCTATTTAAACTCAATCCAGTACACACTGCAAGAAAATACATGCTTTTTGAAGAAAACATGACAGTTTTTGTTAATCACCAGATAAAACCATTAATGAAATAAAAGCACATCAGAACAAACAAGCTATAATTAATAAAAAAAAGATCAAATAAAATGACAATTTCTGCATTAGTACTGAATCACTTAATGACTTAACACATATTATGATGTGAATTAGCTACAGTATGTTATCATTATGAGCGTCTATGAATGATTTCTGGATTGGCTTGATTCATGTCATGGTTTATGTTGAACGCTCCTTGTGCTCCTAAGAGAAAAAAATAATGAGAACACGTGTCAGTCTTGTATAATTTCTACCACACTAAAGATAAAATATCAAATCTGATAGATCATGCAAATAAGAAGTCTGTGAAGGTTTGCCTTCAGCTTTTGATGATGCACTGGGGTCCTGCAGTGTTCGTCCTTCGCCTCTTCCTCACTGGCATAGATGGCATTACACAGGCTGCAGAAGTAACCCACCACAGGCCGAACAAACTCTGTGCCTGTTGGTAAAGTACAAAAGATCAGTTGTGCAGAAGCAGAGCTGTACTGTCCAATATAGCCTTACTACTTTTATTAAATGGTAGCTACTTAATTCCCTGAGGATTTGCACGAGCGTTAGAACCTCTCACAGCTCAGGTTTGTTAAGCATCATGTTTTCAGAGGGCTGTGAAACACGCTCTTACCCACTGGGTCCATCACAGGTGTTTGCGTCTCTGACACAGTGTCTGAATTTTCCTCCTTCGTTACGCTTCCATCATCAGCTGCAGAAACCTGCTTCTCATCTCCCTTCGAGTTGTCATCTCGATTATCATTCGAAGACTCCTAAAACCAGTGTTATTCATCATCAAACACATAGTATCGGTAGATATGCTGCACAGCGGTATCTGAAAGCTTACCAAACAGGGATTTGACCAAAGACAGGAAAATAAGTGAGAATGATCTACCTCGACATTCGCTGATGTCTGGATAGACGGCTGCTGCTCAGAAATACTGTTTTGTGTCTTGGATTCATCATTTTCCTCCTCTAACTCGGAAAATGGGTGTATAGAACCATCACTAGGTCCATGTAGAAAGTACCTAGCAAACAATACAAAACGTGTAGGGATGCAGTGAGTGACTTTCATAATTGATTATACAGTTCAGTAAGATAAACTGGTCAAATACATTGTTTACATCTGAAAAATGTGCAAATTGAAAACTATAAAAATATGAAGTTCACGCTAAACATACCATGTGCAAAAATTTTACAAACAAAGTGCACAACATATAATATGCTTCACAACAAAGTGTTTGTCCAGTTTTCAATATGAGGAACAGCAACGTGACTCTTTATTTTTTCTGTGACTGTAAGAGACGGCTATATCCTATTATATGTTATAATCCCATTGCAGTTACTGTTCGCATAAAAATAGCATTACCTGTGTTAGATGTAGGATTCAATTAAACATGGTGCATTTAAAACCTAAATTTAACATCCCAAAAACATTTAATCAGAATAACGAGTTTTCTGTTGCACTCCAGCTAGTTGATATAGAGTTCGTGCTCATTAACATCTAATGGGGACTTAAAATGATGAGCCTTGTAGCAAAACACTAAAGAGCACACTCATCTGTCCAAACACCTGACTAAGGCAATCCAAATCAAAGCCTATAATCTTGTTTGAATATAAAATGCTTTGTGCTTTGGACAGTTTTGGGTTGTGCACTTTTTTGTCAAGCATTTTTCACTATTGTAAACTGACATCACTTGACTAATTGTTAATAATGCCGACTATAATCAATTTTGCAGGTCTTGAGGCCCTGACTCTGTGTTTGACATCAAGAAACAATGACTGCTTGCTACACACTATAAAGATGACAAATAAGTAACTAGCACTGCTATTTTGAATTTGCATTTTAGTACATCAAAATGAAATGCATAAATTACTATCCAATACCTTTTATTTAAATGAGCATGTTTGGTAGACACTGAAATCTTGGGATGCATTCCAGCAACTGTAATTTTATTCATGTTGGCCGCAGCTACAACCTTTTCAGCATCAGAGGCATTTTTCATTTCAATCAGTCCCTGGTGGGTGAGAAGAACAACATTTTAAGATTTCATTGATGGAAGCACTGAATCTATTTGAAATACAGTATATATATATGGCAGTTATAGCTACTAACCGTTCGATGAAGGCGAAACATCCAATGGCGTACTACTTTACCATACGGTTCTGCGATGCTCAGAAATTCTGCATCAGTGTACTCATCAGGCATGGGAAGGTTTCTGATCCGGAGAACTCTGCCATACCCGTCCTGAAGTATTGGAAAGCAACAAGACACTGTGTTAGCTGAACTGTGTATAATCAATGATACGCCAATGTTTACATGTGTTTTGTGGCCTTTTTTTTAAATAATATTTGAGATTCATTTTGTGAAATGGTTTCTTGATTTGACCTCCTCATCACTAGACGTTTGCATGATTGTGTCCATGCTGGTTTCCTTTTCTTCCTGAGCCTCAGCATCTTCTTCAGAGATCTCGGTCTCAGCCATCACTACTGTGCTCTCCTCACTGGAAGCCAGTGTGCTTGATGGCTCCTTATTGTTCTCTTCAGTATCTTCCTTAACTTTCTGTTTCTCAGTGTCAGCGTCAACACTTTGCCTAAAACAGAATCAAATATCATCTGATGTGTTCTTCAGAACACGAGAAAACTACAGAAAAGTAGTTATTGAAATGTAAGTTACCCCTCGTTCAAGTGGCTGTATTTCTTTGACACGGTTATCCTCAAGTTTCTGCCGCCTAGTTTAATGTGTTGCCTTTTACACTCGGCTTCGAGTTTTGCAGCATCGGCAGCATTCACCATCTCAATTAATGCCTTCTCCACCTGCAACGAAAACATAATTAACATAATTCTATATATTATATCACGTATCGTGAACACTTAAAAGTAGAGCTGTAAGGAATTCTCATGAAAACTGTAATGATTAGGTCAGGCTATATCAATGATAGGTTAACTATTTCCGAAAGCCCTAACGAATAGATTCAAAACTCACGTAGTTCTAAACATTTTTCTTCTAACAGAATATTTTAGTAAATATATGCATTCAAATATTACTGTGTATGTGACATTTCAGAGCAAATACATACATTGAGCTGTCTCTGACAAATATCATCAAAAGTTTAAAAAATACTAGCATTAAAAAATAGATTGCAAATTAAAGGGGTCATATGATGTTGCTAAAAAGAATGTTATTTTGTGTATTTGGTGTAGTGCAATGTGTTTATGTGGTTTAAGGTTCAAAAAACACTATTTTCCACATAATGTACGATTTGTTAATCTAATGAATAACTGATTTGTTAAATTAAATGAAAAATTGTGTGTTTGATTGGTCCAGACGCTACAAACAGTTTGACATTTTGCTTACTTTTGCATACACCATTTCCTTCTATTTAATGTTAAAATGATGCTTTAATTTGATCATTTTACCTTTCGATTGCTGCGAACCAGACAGCAGTTTGCCACATCTCCGTATTTTTTCCCAATTTTCAGTAAATCTGCTTCACTGTATTTTTTAGCCACTGGAAACCCTGCCACCTCCAGAACTTTGCCAAACTTTTCCTAAAAAAAGGGAAAGTTATAAAGAACTCAAAAGCCTTAGCATAATTAATAGAAGACACCATAATTTGTATTCCATATATACACAATCACAAACCCTTTAAAGGGAAAAACAGACTAACCTCAGTGCTTGAAGTCGAGATCTCCATTTCATCACCTAAAACAGAATGGACATACTTCTTCAATTATCTTTGAAACGTAATAACTAAAGCAAACTACAAAAACAGTTTTAGGAAAACATACAGCAGAACTTTATTGCTTTTACTGTTGAATTATTCAATAACCGTGTAAAATAAATACCTTTTTCTGTCAACACTCCCTCCTTGTCTAGATTCTCTGAGAAATCTGCTGCCTCCTACAGACAAAACAGGACAGATGTAGGCTATATGTATAGAATGCAACATTATTAACTGTGTATCATTCACTACCAACTGAAATACTTAAATTGTGTACATTCTATTCAAAACTTGAATAGATTTTGAATAGACTTGAACATGTGTTGTCAGAAAGAGCACCAAAGCTACTAGGCCATGACTAGTAATACTACATTTTTTGATATCCTTTTTTTTTTTTAGATGTTGAGTCCCCAATTTCAAAATGTGGGTAACTGTTACACTCATTTGCGTTTACCTCCATCTCCACTGTATTGTCTTTTTGCTCCCCTTGTTGCTGGTTTTGTTCTCCTTGTTGAAGCTCTCCTTGTTGAAGCTCTTTTTTCTCTCCTTGTTTAAGCTCTTTTTGCTCTTCTTGTTTAAGCTCTTTTTGCTGAAGCTCTTTCTTCTCTCCTTGTTGAAGCTCTTTTTGCTCTTCTTGAAGCTCTTTTTTCTTTTCTTGAAGCTCTTTTGGCTTTTCTTGAGGCTCTTTTTGCTCTCCTTGTTGAATCTCTTTTAGCTTTTCTTGAAGCTCTTTTTTCTCTCCTTGTTGAAGCTCGTTTTGCTCTCCTTGTTGAAGCTCTTGGGCTTCCTTACAATCGCTCGATCTTTCCGAAGTAGTAGCAGTTGGTGCACACTCTGACGTCTCTGGCTGTATGCTCGATGTGTCCATGTCTGAAGGTTTAGTCTGATCATCTGACTCTTTCACAGTTTGGACATCTTCAGATGCATCCTGTTCATCGGAGGTTTCATGCGCCTCATCATCCATCTCTTCATCTACTGTGAGCTCATCTTCTGAATTCAGTGCCTCACCATCATCAGCTATAACCGCCACTCCTTCAAGATCACTATCATCAGTCATGATGTCAGACTGATTGTTGTCGTCTTCAACAGTCTCCTTCACACTTTCTTCTGTTTTTGTTTTTTGCTTCTGGTCTTTCGAAGGAGAGCTTTTTTTAGAACGGGATTTGGATGAGCTGTCCCGTCTAGAGCTCTCTTTGGTTTTCTCCCGTGAGCGTCGACTTTCTTCTCGTTTCTTAGAGTCGTGACTCCTGCGAGACCTGGACCTCTCTTCAGAAGCTCTTCGTTTGGGGCTGGGAGAGTCTCTGTGGGATCTCCTCCTCGGGCTGCAACTCCTCCTCCTCCTCCTCCTGCTGCTGCTGCTGCTGCTGCTATAAGGAACTGGTGATTTTTCTTTGTCAGCATCCGTCATTCTAGACCATGAAGAGAAATATCAAGCATGTTATTTTAGAAGTAGAATGGAAAAACGCACACCAAATTAAAAAGTGTAACATCTCTAGTGTTACCCAACAAAACAGAATAAAATCCATGTCCAAATGCAAAAAAATGGTGTCTTTACAAGCCAACATAAGATCAGCAAAACAGGCTTACTCAAGCGTCTGGTACTCAGTTGAGGAGCAAACGTTAATGGTTTTTCCTTTTATTTTAAGTGAATTGGTTGAATAGTGCTCCACCAATTTGTCGGCCTCCTCTGCACTGCTCATCTCCACATAACCCTGTAAAAAGGCACAAAGTCTTTATACAACATAGATGACTGCAGAGAAAAAACATGCCATAATATAAGTAAATAAATAGAAATATCTGCACAACAATAAGCTTAGCTACCCGGCTTGGGAGAAACAGAGAATGTTTAACTGATCCGAAACGCTTAGCAATGGCCGTCAACTCTGAGCGTATGCCATCACTAGAAGGTAACGGTGAAAAGCTCACTACACGAGAAGTCTGTAAAACATGAAGGAAATCATTCAATCACCATTGGTGGCATGCTAAAACAAATCAAATGGATGCAAGTCACTTTTGAAGGTGTCATTGGTAAAATCTTCTGAATGGCACTTGGAAAATATCTCTGATCCCTCCCTAACATAACTGAATTAGGTGCCCGACTGAAAAGCAGATAGCTGAGTGAATGTAGCTGAAGTGGATCATTCAAGTTAATCATTATATTCAGCTCCATAAGCAGGTATCATTTTGTCATGCGTGTCATTTTGCTTATCAAGCCTTTGACAACACAGATGAAGCACTGCTGCACTCCTGCTCCATCTCTGACTACAAAGTCTCAACCATATTTTTAGGATTGGGTTTTGTAAAGTAGGGGAGAGTCTAATTCAGGGACTAGTCTGGCAGAAGTTTCAAAATGTTTAACATCGCTAACAAGCAGGGGTTTTGAAACTGCTTCATTGAAAATTTTTAGAGAAAAACTGTTTACCGTTTGATTCTTCTTTCTATAACTAAGAAAACAAATCTTGAGCTTAACCATATATTTTATAATAATTTCTATTAGCATTACTACAGTGACAATATAATGACTAATCAATTTAGGAAACAACATGTTGTCTTTGTAATATCACTTAATATTTTCTCATACTGTATAAATGGGTTTACACAGGAAAATATGTGGTTGTACTTCTATTTTAGGAAGAAGGTCCTCATATTTGGTCGTCCTCTGCATCAAAAAGTCCTGGCTTAACCCAAAATATAACATTTAACATATTTACTCACCTGTAGGAAATTGAATGCTGCAGACAGAGTAAATACGATCAGTTCTCCTCTGATCCTCAAAGGGTTTTGGTAGAAATATTTTACTATATCCTCTGCCTGGCCTGCTGTTCCCATATTCACAAAAGCCTAAAATATATTACAAGAATAAAGTATTACAGCCCATTTAAAAATCAGATTAATATATTTGTTAAAGGAGTTATATATATATATATATATATATATTAAAAATAAAATGCCATACCATTCTAGGTAACATGATAATTTTGACAATCGCCCCAAACTGGCCAAGCAATTTTTTCAGGTAAGCTTCATCCACATCATCCACTTCAAACTTGACACACACCACTTTGCACTGTAATCAAATTTGGTTAAATAAACAAATATAACAATGTCTGAACTTTAAACCAGCAGTGAAACAGAACATCACAAATAAAAATCCACCTTCGTTGTTGCTTCAGTGTTATTGCGGTTTTGGCTGCTTGATGATTGACTTTTACTGCTCAACGCTGCACTTTTGCTGCCTGACGATCCATTTCTACTGCTTGAGGTTCCACCTGAAAAAAGCATAACATCTATAATATCTAAAATATCTAGAAGATAGATAGCTTGAATCACTACGAAGAGAATAAAGACGTTACCTCGTTCCTGTGTTGTTCTGGACGCGTGTCGATCAGGATGGGGCTCATTTCTGTTAAAGTGTGTACATAACATGTAAACTAACACATTTTTGGAAATGTGCTGGTTTACAAATATAATGAGGGAATGATTCTACCTTCGAGCAGATTGGATTGTCTGATCCCACGCTGGATATCTAATGAAAAAGGATACGTGTGTAAAACATTTATTGACATTTGAGCATTTTGGCAGTTGCTTTTAACACATTCAAGGCCTGTATTATATCAGTATGTGAGCAGAACTGAACCCATGCAATTGTTAGTATTACGCTACTGATAACTCTGTGTACCACATAAAACATCAAGGTGGAAAATACATAATACTATTACTTTAATAAAATGTGTCGTAAAGAATTGCACATGCTTTGTCTGTACACTGAGTTATGTTTCATGTTAAATCTGTATGACTACTGGCAATAAATCTGTATAAAATGTAGCTAAATCTCTTAAATCATCCTCACTATCACCAAATATGTTTCTTAAACCGCTTGAAATAATTATTTAGCAGCAACATGACTGCACAGGAGTTTTAGAACTAAATTAAAGAATAAAGTTGAAGATACTTACTTTTCCACAAGACTAAGTTGACTATGAGCATGTTGGGCTCCTTTTATATGCAAAGACCAGTCCTAAAACACAAGTTATATCTCTAAATATTCATTCATGAGGCACTAAATTGTATAATATGACAAAGTACATTTATAGTCCATATGATTAAGACAGACTTCTATCAAATTTAAATGAAAAGTATTTGCAAAAATCATGTATACTGTTATGCCAATGAATTTTTCACACCCTCTAACTGCATATGCTATCAAAATGAACAGATCTTTAATTTTGGTTGTTTGCTATCTTAATGAAAAAAATCAAACAAAAAAGACCATCATATCAAGAACAAAATGACAAGTCAATTATCAAGTCATTATGCAGTGCAAATCTTCATTTCCATTATAGCTCTTAAATCTCACTCCCACTAGCGCATATTCATACTTTTTGCATCAAGATGAATTACACCCAAGTATGACTTCATGCCTCAGTGACTCCATTGGTTCCTGCATGTCTTGTGACCGAACATGATGCAGCATATTTGCATATGCGGGAGCAGGAATGAGATTTGAGGACTACGGCAGTGGCATTATGACTTCATACAGTGCATGAGTCGACTGGACTGCTTTAATGTTACTTTCTGTCTTTATTAGGTTCAGTACAACATGACAGAATTTCCACTCTGGGGTAAACTATACCTTTAACGCATTATTAATAAACATGCTACTTGGACTTACCTCATACGCTCATGTGTAAATGGTACAGTACAACATGTTAAATAGCTGGTAATGTAGAATCTGTGAGAGCGAAAATAAGCTACTTACCTTGATAGAGAGGACAGTGATATCGCAGAGCACGCATGCGTAGGGAAATACTGGTGGAGTTTTCCCGTGGAAATCTGACGCCTCCTTCCTGGTAGGCACTCTAGGAGCTGACTCTGTCCTCCTTTGGTGTGAAGACTGACCAACGTCTCTGCTGGCCAGGTGCGAGGGTGGTGCAAGGTCTCTGATGGACAGGAGCGAGGGCAGACCGACGTCTCTGCCGGACAGGAGAGAAGGTGGGCCGACATCTCTGCTGGACAGAAGCGAGGGTGGAGCGATGCCTCTGTTGGACAGGAGCGAGGGTGGACCAACATCTCTGCTCGACAGATGTGAGGACTGGCCAATGTCTCTACTTGACAGATGTGAGGACTGACCAATGTCTCTACCGGACAGATGTGAGGGCTGACCAATACCGGACAGATGTGAGGACTGGCCAATGTCTCTACCGGACAGATGTGAGGGCTGACCAATACCGGACAGATGTGAGGATTGACCAATGTCTCTACCGAACAGATGTGAGGACTGACCAATGTCTCTACCAGACAGATGTGAGGACTGACCAATGTCTCTATTGGACAGATAAGAGGTCTGACTGACATCTCTGCTAGAGCGATGGGAGGACTGACTGACGTCTTTACTGGACAGATAAGAGGACTGACTGACATCTCTGCTAGAGCGATGGGAGGATTGACTTGCATCTCTACTGGTCAGAGGAGAGGACTGACTGACGTCTCTGCTGGACAAATGTGAGGATTGACTAACGTCTCTGCTGTGGCTAGAGTAAGACTGCGGGACAACGGACGTTTTCTGCCTTGATGGTTCTGTGGCATAAGACGCTTTATCAAAATAAGACTGTTTGTCTTTCAGATGGTTGTACTCAACCACATAGTTTGAGTCAGAACTGGTGTGCGTGCATGTTGGAGAGCTTGTTTGTTGGGCATTTTCCCAGCGGTCGTCCCAGGTTGGAAGCTGCTCTCGAGGAATGGAATATGACTGACGGACAGGCAAATCCAATGGATACTCAACCAGCTGAGTGTGGCTCCTGTCGTCCCAGGAGCGAGATGATGAACCGGGTTGGAGCGCACTGGACCTAGATGAAGAAGTGTTGGACGCTTTCTTATTTTTGATCTGCGCAAGAAGGTCAGGAAGGGTATCGGCTGCGATGAGATGCTCAGGAAGCTTGGCCAGAGTTTGAAGGTCTTCAGCATCCAGTCCACAGCTATGCAGAAAAGACAAAGCCTTAGCAGACGAGAGGACAGGTTCTGATGAGGATGGAGACGTCCGCTCTGGAGATGCGCCCCTAATTCGCGACCTGTAAGCGGTAGACTCCCGGTGATAAATTCGTTGCGAGTCTTTGTACTTGTCATTGCTTGCGCTGTAATCATCGGGTGGGTTTCGGTATGGTTGATTGTAAGACATGTCTCAAAGTTGTCAAAAGTGGTCAAATATGTGTAGGACCTCAAAAAAAATCAGCTCTTGCCGGGGCAGCTGCTGCTCACCTGTTAAAAAGTTGGTAAGGAGAATTTGTTGTCCTTGTATTAATACTACAATATTGAAGAGATCAGCTTCAGTTGGAAGATCTGCTGATGAATCCGGTTGAGGGGTGTCACCTGTATCAGTCTTACCTTGAGATGAAAAATTAAATCATTCACACTTTGTGGATGTCTCTGGATTTGTTTTATAAAACTTCAACTGTATCAGACCAGTAATATCACAACTAGTAAGTTAATTAAAGTAACTGGTAGATGTCTAATGTCCATGAACTTTGTTAGAGGATATGTATAAAGGAAAGCAACTTTAACTGGAAACCTTCATCTTTACGTTTTGAATCACTTTCGCTTTCATTTCAACATGCATTTATAATACACGTAAATGATTATATAAGAAAAAAAAAATTATAGAATATCACTGCTTGAAATGTCATATGTAAACTACCTCAATGTAGGTGGAGTTTGCTTTTCAACTTAAAAGTGAAGAAGAATAATTAGCGTTTTTCCAGAAAGGTTGATCTCTTGTGTTTTGGCCTGATGCTAAGCGCCATATTTCCGTTTGTCTTTGGCCCTGATGCTAACCGCCATATTCCCGCTAATACAATAACATCATATGACGCATCATCAAACTATATTACGAAGGAAATAATCCGTTTGTATTGACCTATGAAAAAAACTTACCTTACAAGCTGGAATAAAGCAATTGATCGCTAAAGCTATGCAAGATAGCGGTTATGGTGAAAGACGTTCTTCTCGTCTCGGTGTCTAAACCGGATGTGATCTTTCAAAATAAAAGTCGCCCCGGATGTATTGTTTGAATATGTGTGAATATTAAAAATGACTTATTACATTTTATTCAGAAATAAAATAACATATACACTGTAGCATTAATTGGTTAAAACAGAACATAAAAATAAGCTCTGATAACACCAATGCTAATGAAATGTTTGTCACTACTATTAATCAGTATTGTTACAGTAGAAATAACTTTACCAACTAAAGTAACATAGAGAAAAACTATGGTTAAAATGTCAAATTATGTAAACACAACTGTCTTCTCTCTCTGGCAAAATCCCTGTAAATACTGGAGGTTTTATATATAGACCAGAGACAGAGACAAGGAACAAGAACTGACCATTTATTTTTTCCAGACATTTATTGCCAGTAGTACCCTAACACTTGCTATATTACAAAGGCTTTTTAGCAATACAAAAATTTATGAAAGAGAGAGAGAGAGAGAGAGAGAGTTTTACTGTAAGGTGTTCTGAGCATGATTGATTCATTACATTATAACATTAAAATAAAATACTGATGTCAAGAATTGTATCTTTCATAAAACCTTTCAACATTCCCCAGACTCTGCATGACTTTTTATAATATCTCTCTCTCTCTCTTGCATTTTGTGAAAGATATAATTCATGACCTCAGTATTAATAAAACAACAGAAAAAGAAAAACAGTAGTAGCAGTTAAGTGTGTGGCATAAAATTTCACATCTAAATCGTTATAACAGAAGAGCTATGACTTGCTTATGAATTCGTCAGCTTTTACTACTACATTAAATTGAGAAAATATTTGTTAATTTAAAAAAAATAATAGAAATAAATATAGTCTATTAAAAGATGTTCCAGCATGAGTGGCTCATTTCTTCATCCCATTACTCTGTGCTTTGGCTTCCTCCTCTTCCAGATATTTTAGATGAGAAAAAAACAGAACATTTGTTTCAGAAACATATTGAATAACAACATCACAATTAGCGAGGTTCTATTTTAGTGAATCCTCGTTACAACAACAAATTGTAGATACCATGTAAATAAGATATTCGTTGTACAGTGTAATCAATCATTTTTTGATTAGAACTGGAATTTTCACAAGAATTCCAAACTCGGTTAACTCATGCTAAACTGAAGTGACTGACAGCTTCACTGATCACAAAGAGAGCAGTCTTTGCTCACTTTCTGTATTGCAAACCAAGTCAATGCCTGGCTTTGTGAAACAATTTATTAGCAAAATCAAAGCCATCTTACCAACTGGGACATTACCAAGAGCAGCGCTTCTAGATTCTAGCTTTATTTGAGGTGGTGCTGGTGTAGTGTATTTTCCCCCAGTCTTCACACTCTTCTCTGATACAACAGCAACAGTCTCTTCATCTTCAGCCTCCTGGTCAAAGGAAAGCAGTGGATAAATCTTTGTCTGCTGCACAGGGTTCCTGTCTGGGCTGAGATGGATCTCTCCGAGCCTCCTAAAACAGTCATCATGCCATTTGATGTGGTAAATCAGATTTAGTGCACACTGTCATGGTATGCACTACACAACAAATAATATAATGACTGTGATATAGTTCTATAGTGATATGGTTAATACTACAATAAATTAACTAGTTTGTATCTCCTTCTTGTATGACATTTTTTTTTATTTACCCCATGGTAACTGTTAATTTAAAGGAATTAGATCTCACATTAAAGAAACGGGAGGAGGAGCGTAATTATTCTTTAATTTTATTCTTGTCACCGGCCTTCCAACCTTAGAATGATCAGGTCATACCCCTTTAATTTATTTAAAAAAAAAATTATATATATATATATATATACATAAAATCACCGTTACGTCGTACCAATGGCCGACTGACTTCCGGAAAGTGAAGGTAAATTTGTTTTTTTGTGTATGTTTGTTCCCAACTTACTTAAACCTTTTGTGATCATAGGTTTGTTTGGAACAAAATACAGTACATGGTTTTCACAGTCATACAGATGTACTCTGTAAGTTTGTCCTCACATACCTCAGTTTTTAAAAACCACACAGGGACGGCTGTTGACTTCAGATATCGTCGTACATTTCCCTTATCTGATCTGAAATCGTCTCGTGAAAAATGTTGACTGCACAGCCTCAAAACTTCCAGAGACTGAACGGGTAAACTAGTATCCCGGTGAACCGCGAGCAGCCATAGCCTCAGGCGCTGCGGATCATTCAGTGGGAATCTGTGAAAAGTCAGCCTTTCCTCTGGCGATAACGGCCGAGGACGCAGCCTCACTGCTTTCTGTCTGTTGAAACATCCAGGAAAAGCACACATACGCACCATTGTTCAATGTGCAGCATAACCCTTTTGTAACTATACAGCTCGTTTGTAAACAGCGACCCAGTTCGTATCGTAAACACGTCAAATCTGTCGTAAAATGCGCATGCGTCAAGATTCAATTTATCAAAAGGGTTTAACATTTTTGTGGATATAGGTAACAGATAAAACAGTTGCCCCTAGCGCTACAATCAGAGTAAAACTGATATTTAAACCACATAAATATAACATTTCCTTTATAATTACACAATCTCCTGGAAATGCACCAAAACGCCATCGCATAATTAGTAGTTACCAGTTCAAAGTTATTCGGAAAAGGAACAGGAGAAAAATTAACAATTCTCTCTAAATAGCAGTGTTTTAATTCATTAATTAAGGCCCTTAGGTCTTAAATGATATACCAGAGAAATTGATTTTCACAAACAGGTTTACATTTTAAAATGTATCTTTACTGTTATTCCGATCTTGTGACAAACTCATTAGCACAGATTTACTGTATGCTGATTACATAACAATGGGGCCATGAATAGGTTCTCCTTTCACAGAATACAAATTAAATAGAAAAAAAAGATTAAAAAGAGTCAGACAGAGTCTGAGGAATGCTGAAATTTAATAAAAGAAAGGAAAAACAAAAATACAGTTGTTGTAGTAGTAGCAATTAAGGCGTAAAATGTGTTAAACTTCACATCTAAATCACTAAAACAGAACAGGCAGGAATATGATTTACGAATGTGTCAGCTTTCATTACTACTTTAAAAAGAGCGAGACCTCAGTCTAATCTTTTTTTTAGAAAAAAAAAATAATAATAATTTTAAAATTCACACAAAACACAGCACAAAGGACATATTAAGAGATGCTCCAGCGTGCCGTGAACGGCTTATTTCTTCGCTCCATTACTCTGTGCTTTGGCTTTCTCCTTTTCCAGATATTTCTGTTGAGAAAAAGAACCAAAAATGTCAATGTAATAATTCAGATATTTACTAATAAAAAAGTAAGTGAAACCCCAAGCTGTAATACATAATCTAGACCTCAGTCCTTTTCTGACATCTTATGCTTTTACAGTTAGCGCATTACAAGTGACAGAATGATGAGGATAAAAAAAAATGATCACCTTAAGTTTATCGTAGTGTGCTTGGCTACTGCAGTGGATCTTCTTTGCAGTGTCTTCATTCGAGTAAAACAGGAAGCAGACTCTGCAGTAATATCCCATCTTCACAAACTCCACACCTGAAACGGGTCGAATGGGATTCATTAATGAGACTCCTTACAAGCTATCTATCAGGACTATATTGCACAAATAGTGACTAAAATGGCCAATATTTTTCCTAAGTCAGGGCACATCAGGTTTTTATAAGACATTCATCGATTGGTTTGAAGCATTTAGCAGCAAGCCGAACTGATTTATTACCATATTTATGTGATTTTTTTATTCAAGACTACTACTCCGTGAAGGAGACTAAATACATAGGTTTGTTATGTCAAACTTATTTCTTTGCAAAAACCAAAGCCATCTTACCCACTGGGACATTAGGATCATATGGCTCAAGAGTAGCATGGCTAGTGTCAAGCTTTATTTCAGGCGGTGTTGTTGTAATGGGTTTTTCCTCCGTCTTCTTCTCGCTCTTCTCTGATTCAGGGGGAGTAGCATCAGTCTCTTCATCTTGTGGCTCCTGGGCAAAGGAAAGCAGTGGATAAATCAAGTACATCCTGTTGGCAGCATTTAAAAAAAAATTGTTTATCTACTGCCTGGACTGAGATCACTGTCAAAATATGACTCCATAATCTATAATAAGACCCCCCCCCACACACAATATGAAAAAAAATAATAATAATAATCCATCCCCTGTGGTTCTCTCACATCACAATCCACCCATATATTTGTTTAGGACTGTTTTGGCTTATAAACACTGCTTGATCTGTGCATATTTCTATCCTGTTTCAGATGTGACCACTTTTTCACTGGAGGAAGCGTTATTATGGATTATGGACAAGCATCCATAATAAAGGGGTAAAAAAACGTTTTGAACTGTCAAAATATGACTCCATAATCTATAATAAGACACGCCCCCCCCCACACAATATGAAAAAAAAAATAATAATAATCCATCCCCTGTTGTTCTCTCACATCACAATCCACCCATATATTTGTTTAGAACTGTTTTGGCTTATAAACACTGCTTGATCTGTGCATGTTTCTATCCTGTTTCAGATGTGACCACTTTTTCACTGGAGGAAGCGTTATTATGGATTATGGACAAGTATCCATAATAAAGGGGTAAAAAACGTTTTGATGGATTTGTTTCTTACAAACACGCAGCTTTTGCTTCACAAGGTGTAAATTGATGGAGTGGTGTGGATTATTGTGATGTTTTTATCAGCTGTTTGGACTCTCATTCTGACGGCACCCATTCACTGCAGAGGATCCAATGGTAAGCAAGTGATGCAATGCTAAATTACTCCAAATCAGTTCCCATGAAAAAATGTCCTGAGGGTGAGTTTCAGTAAATTTTCATTCTTGGGCAAACTATTCCTTTAAAGGGAGAGCTCATTCATAAAGTATGCTACCCTCATCCAAAAAGGAATGGCAAACAAGACTATATTCATGCTATAAACAAAAATAATGAGGTCACTCACAGTCTCCATATTCTGGTGCTCTGATGTGTCTTTGATTTGTTCCTCCTCTGGATCGCTCTTCACTTCAGGAACGGTTTCTGCGGAAACATTTTGGCTTTCCTTCTCTTCCTGGCTCTCCTCTTTCTCAGCTTTATCAGTGACAGTCTCTTCCACTTTCAACTTCTTGACAGAAGGCTCTTCCTCTTTCTTATTCTTACTTTTGCCAGAGGAGTTGCTCTGGGTCTCAGACTCTCCGGAGCGCTCCCTCTTGAGTGGCCGTTTGTCCTCAGGCTCTGGGCTTGGAGGTCTGTGTCTGTGAGAAGATTATATTGTCAAAACAGATGCCATTCAAGATTCTTTGGAAAGAAAAAAAAAAAGGGAATCTGAATTTCCAACTGACCCATGTTTGAGTTGCTTATATTTCCTGCTCACGTAGACAACCAGTCGTTTGCCTTCAAATTTAGGTCGATTTTCCTTGTAGGTCTCTGCCATTTTCTCAGCATCTTCCCAGCTTTCCATCTCAATGAAGCACTGAGCAAAAATACCACAAATGTTATAAACACCATATTTATTTTGCTTATGTATCCGCCAGAAAGTGTCAAATTTTTACATTACCTCATTGCGTATTCGGTTCAGAAAGTATCTCTTAACTTTTCCAAATGGTTCTGCGATTTTCAGAATTAAGGCATCTGAGCCTTTGAAGGGTGGAATATTACGAACGTAGATGACTCTGCCGCTCTGTAGACATTGCACATAAACGGTGTTAGATTCCGCAATTTTATATTCAAAGGCAGTATTCCGGGAGAGTTACAGGGATAGTTCACCCAAAAATTAATATTTGCTGTTCATTTTCTCACCCTTAGGACATCCAAGATGTAGATGACTTTTTTTCAGTTGAACAGTAAAGAAGATATTCTTAGCTGAAACCGTGCAAGACAAGCGGCTGTCCGTTTTTTAGAGTAAAAAAAATAAAATAAAAAAAATCAGGGAACACCAAATTAATAGCCAAGGCTCATGACAGTATATTGAGATCTTATGAAGTGGAACGATCGGTCTGTACAAGAAACTGATCATTATTTACAACATAATTACCTGTAATCCAGAGCCTCAGGAAACGGGGAAATCCGATTATTTTCCGCAAACTGGTTCTTTCTTGAAGTTTGTTTCAATGATTTGGTTCAATTCACTTGCTTGCTTACGTAATCACACAATGACGTCACGTATAGCCAATTATCATTAAAGCACCCACTGATGATGTGAAATGTGGATGTTTTACACGTCTAAAACACACCAAGTGACTAAACTGCTCTTCATCAGCTCACCTTTTTACATAAAACCAATGGCTCATTGGTCTTCAGTCCAAGTCAAATTGTTTTCTCAGTTCAGTGACTTTTGGAGGAACTGGAGCGCTGAATGATTCATCACAGGGTCAGATATGCCGGTATTTTGGCTTATTTCCAGTCGGAGTGACTGTCAGGCGTCTGAAAGTGAGTTTTGGATAACTAACTTGTACATCTGTGCTGCTCGAGCCACAAACGGTTTCAGATGATTCAGTCTGACTTGATGAACTGGTTTAACAAGTCCACCAAAAAAAAACAAAAAACGGTTCAAAAGAATGATTCGCTTGTGAACCAGACATCTCTCCGGACCGTTTACCTGAGGCTCAGGATTACAGGTAATAATGTAAATAGTGATCAGTTTCTTGCACAGACAGATTGTTTCGCTTCATAAGACCTCAATATATCGTCATGAGCCAGGGGTATTCATTTTGTGTTCCTTGATATGCTTTTCTTAATTCTTAAAGACGGGCAGCTGCTGACTTGAATGTTATTAATCAGCAAGGAACACACTTATAGCTAAACATTTTCTTTACTGTTCTACTGAATTAAAAAAAACTCACCAACATCTTGGATGGTCTTTTTTTGGGTAAACAATCCCTTTAATAAGCCCAAGTCTTACCTGGATGGTTGGATAGGATTGTGAATGATAGACCTTCACAGGCTTTCCACACACAGATGGCATGACATTTCCACTGTAGAAACTAGACATTGCTCTTGCCTCTTGTTCATTGGAGAGCTCCAGAAAGGCCTAACACAAAAAAAACAACCATCAGGCTATTTGAGCATAATTCATTGAACACAGACCGTGTTCTCCAGCCAAACTGCAATCAATTAAACAGCCTGTCAATGCATAATAAACATTTATACACATATTATTAAATAATCTAGCATTATTTTTGGATAGCTACAGCAAAGCTGCTGTGAGTGAGGTGGCCTGAACAGTACATCTGAGAGCTGTTACCTCAGGCCTCACATCCAAAACCAGGTGCCGCACCACTTTACCAAATGGCTTTGCAAGAGCAAGGACTTCATCCAGATAACCATAGCCACGTTTAAACCCAACGACATTCACAACTCTCAATCCCTACAATTAGAGAACATACATTAATATCTAACACAATCAGTAAATCAATGTACAGGCATTGACTACGTTTACATGGACATCAGTAATCTAATTATTTACCTTATTCTAAATAAGCCAATATTATGATTATGGTGTTAACATGAGTTACTTTTAGAATATTTCTTTCATGTTCTCGTTTTACATGTTATAGTACATAGTTCGATTAATGGCACACGTCATTACGTCACCA